CGTTTGTATGGCAGTAACTACATGACTAAGGCAATATTATGGCACTTGCAAATAGAATATTTATAATTCCATGAAAATGTCAAGGTGACAATGAATGCCATGCTAGTTGATAACGTTTTCTCCATTTATTATTTGTCACCTCCAAATGGAACGAAAAAATAATGGATTCGGATGACATACCGATTGAGGCCTGAAGAAGTTCGAGAGAGAGGCGTCAAGTGGTTAACATGTTTCTTGAATAAGATTTGGAGAAATAACTTAACAAAATTCTTGTGAGTTGGTGAAAAGTGTCTTAACCCCTTATTTATGAATAAAGGTGTGGTACGAAAATTTGCTAGCTATTGAAGGATTAATCTTAAGAGTCACACTATAAAATTTTGAGAAAGAGTGGTTGAGCAAATGCTCTGAAAATGTGTAAAGATTTCGGAGAATTAATTCAGTTTTTTGCCTAATCGCTCAACAACTTTGTTCATTCACTTTTTAGGCAACTTGTGGATAAGTATAGCGACACGGACAAATATTTATATTTAGTGTTTATTGAATTAGAAAAGGCTTAGGATATGGTAATTTGATGTCGTGCTTTGGTAGGCCTTAACCTGAATAGACATATCACGTAAGAACACCAACATCATCATGAATATGTATGAGAATTCTATTAACTGCCGTGAATCTAAGAATTCTAAGAATACCAAAATGTTTGTACTTGTCACGCCTCGGACCTCACCGGACACGCTCAACCGCCATACAATCTAGATAAGTCAACCTCGGTCAAGCTTACCCAAACCATACAAGGCATAATGAATATCATACACATATAGTCATCCATAAACAAACGTAATAAGTAATTCAATACGCATAGGAAAGTATAGTTTAAATCCAAATGCCACACGGGGTAAACATGAGCAGGCAGACTCTAAAGTAAAATATCCATGAACATGTTTATTATTGTTCAAAAACATAACGGAGGAAGCACGAACCAAGTCTTCTCTCCAAGATGAACACTCGAGCAACAAGTACAAGAAGCAAGCCCTAAGGGGCCAGTACTTTCCCGAAACTATAAAGTAATGTTGTGGATGACATCTAATAGATATTCAACAAGCAAGTATTTCAAATGCAAAACCCTCAAATAGGGTGATAATATAATCTAGGCTGTAACCCTAAATTACCCCGTTTGAAAATAAACTTACTTTATATAAAGTCAAGTAGCCGGCCCGTGGGCCCATGTTCATTTTGAAATCGCCTTCCATATTCTCCATGACTACTAGTCACGACAATCATATAGTTCAACCCTAGTACATTATCTTTCATTCATCGAGCTCAGCTCTAGTACATCACCATGCAAACGCAAGACTCAAATCCAATACATCACAATTGCATTTCTAGAGCTCGGCTCTATTACACCGCCATGCAATCATAGAGCTCGGCCCTAGATCAACATCATACAAATCATAGAACTCAAGTCTACTATTTCACCAGGCATTCTTAGAGCTCGGCTGTTTTACACCACTATGTAATTCATAGCCCAATTCCTAAGCAAATCATATATCTAGAATTGTCATATATTATATTGGGCCCCCTAACTAATATAATAACTCAATTTAGTTCGTCCATATAACACGCGCCCGGTTAATATTTTAATTAATCATTTATTAACTAATTCATTGATTGTTTTAGTCATGATTGATATTTAGTAAATGACCTTGTTTGATAAATGGCCTATCAGCCATTTTTATCTGGTTTGATCATATTTAGCTGGTTTGACTAATTGACCAGCCAAAATAGACGTTTGGTAAAACAGATTTTTAAGACAGCTTTTTCCTTCGAAACGCCAAGTTTGAAGAAGCTGCTATGAGCAGCGTTTGGGATCAGATTATCCTACTCCGTGTATGATTCTTTGCTCTGAACAAAGTTACGTGGCTAACATTTAGGGGTGTGTATTGTATCTGGATTTGGTGGCAAAATTTTAGAAGTCCATGGACTTTAAAAATCCGGGTGTATTGAATATAGACTTTTAAAAGTTCGTCAAAGTTTAGGTGTATTCAATCAGAACTTTTAAAAGTCCATAAAAATACGGATGTATTCAAAAACTTAACAAATTCTATGGATTTTAAAAATAGTAGATTCTCATGGATTTTAGAAGAACTCATATAAATACTCTTTCCAATCAATTGTCTCGTGCTCTCCCAAAAGATTTCACGCTGACTTTCCCGTAGGGTTTTCTGGCAATCGTCTCTTCCCTCTTCACGCCCAACTAGCCAAGAACGACTCTTCCCAAGTATGTTATGTTGCTTATTAGATATTGTTGATCGTGTATAAGATCGGATTCCACCGGCGGTGTTGCCGGCACGTGAAATTTCAACTTGACACCAATTTTATTTTGATAATCATTGCCCATGACTGTATAAGATAAGGAGTTAAGGATAATATTGTTTAATGATATGCCAGTAGCTTTTTCCACATTCTCAACTTCAACGCTTCTTATTTTGTATGGTGCAAAAACTGCAGTAGCTTTTTTCACATTCTGTTTTGGGAAAGAGAGTGTGTAGTTCAAAGGCATTCATGAATTTCTTTGCTGAAATATGGATTTTTGTTTGATAAACAAAATCAGCACTACTTGTTCGAGTAAAAATGCAACAAAGGAGGTTGTGAAATAATACAATGTGTTCAAAAATTTAATATAGTTTATGATTTTAAAAAGATCAAGCAGTATGATTTTGTTTTTATTGTTTGTGTGATTGGTTTTACATGTCTTGTAGATGCATGGGTGATTCACAACGTAATGCCAAAAAAAGGAATGTGATTAAACGGATATTTGGAATATTCAAGTCACGCTTCACAATCTTCAAAACGGCACCTCCTTTCTCTTATAAAACACAAGCAGAATTAGTTTTGGCATGTGCAGGAGTACATAATTTTCTTCGACGTGAATGTCGATCTGACGAATTTCCTCCGGACCCAGAAGAAGACCCACCTAACGATGATGAGGACGATCTTGAATGAGATAATTTTCAGACACAAGATCAACAGAGGGAAAAGGCCAATGAATGGAGGATGAATCTTGCTACTCAAATGTGGGCAGCTACAGAAAATGAATAATTTTGATCCATAGTTCAGCAGCACAAGACGTTTGTTCCCATTTTGTGCATTAAGGACATTATTTGTTCTTATATTTTTTAATGCTTATGCTTGACCTCATTTGGAATAGAGAACATTAGCTATTATATTTGTCATATTTTCTATGTAGCGATTTTTATTTATTAAAGTCTAGTTTGTTTTGTTAAAGTCTGGTCTAGTTGGATCTGGTCTGAAATAAGTAAAAGTTTATGGATTTATTGAAATCCATAAAAGTCATTCATTCTAGAAGTCACGGATTTAAAAGTCATCAAATTAAAGTCTATGGATTTAAAAGTCTATAGACTTTTTTAGAAGTCCATGGATTAAAAAAAGTCCACCACAATCCATATTCAATACACCCCCTTTAATGTTTTCTTTTTTTGTTCTTTAGTCCTCCATTGTTTTTCCTTTCAAATAATTTGTTACTCCTATTATAGTTACATCTATAATTCTATATCATTTAAAAGATGATTATTAAATGAGTTTTTTACAAGAATATTACCAAAAGTATTTGGGGTTACAAAAATATGACTATTAATGAGGAACTCATACGGCAACATGGGAGTAAAAATAGGGTAAATAGTCATACTTTTGTTAGTGAGGTTTAAAGTAGTTATATTTATGTAATTTTTTCTTATTTTAAATCACGGTGGAAAATAAATAAATAAATAAATGAATAAATAGATAAGTAAGTAAATAAATAAATATATAAATAAATAAATAAATAAATAAATATATAAATAAATAAATAAATAAATAAATAAATACATAAATAAGTAAATAAATCAATAAAAAAAATTGATTTATATAACTAAATAACTTTTTAGTAAAGTAATTATTTGTATTTAAAATTTGATTTTTCTAAGAAGTACGTCCTTCTATTAAATGAAATATACCACTCAAACTAAATAATTTTAATAAAATTTCATAGAAGTTGGATAAGTTCATAAATTATATTTACCAAACATCTAATTTTACCAAACACTTAAAGAGAATCCGCTAACCCAATCCACCGGTCAAAATAGCTATAACAACCAGCCGGTCAAAGCAGCTAATTTAATCAGCTAACAGTTAACAGCTAGCAGCTAGCAGCTGATTACCAAACAAGGCCAATAGGGTAATCAAATGTATGAATAGATTTTTTTAACCGAAATTTTTAGGTACGTCCGGGTGTGGTGTCACAATCATGAGAACAAACTAACGTGCGGAGTATTTTTTAAGACTTGGCTTATACCCGATCGGGTACGCCGACATACTTGATCGAATATGTCCTGAAAAGCCACTTTTCGAGAAACTACAAATGATACCCGATCAGGTTCCCTATATACCCGGTTGGTTATTAGACTCTACCACCTCCACTAACATTAAAACATCAAGGGGTGATGCAGTTAATAAGAAAAATAGAGTTGTATGGTTGATATTCAAATTAATAACAATAAAGTAAGAATGATTTAGAACCACACAAACTTGACTAAATTAGGTGTGTGTCAATTTTAGTGCAACGAGACCAACAAGAAAAAATAAGACATTCTTGGTGCGATGAAGGGAGCAACACTTTAACAAAAATTAGGATTTTGTTTTAAGTTGGCCCCATGTCTGTTCCTCTCTCTCTTCGGGTGATTAAGGGGTATAGCTTCCCCATCCAAGGGTTCACCGAATTCACTAAAACACATTCTTATATTTCATCCATCCTTAAAATTCTTTTCACTTACTATTTTGGGATTTTCTAAAAAAATCTTCCCATTTTCTTTTTGAAAAGTTTTGTATGGCTAACATTCATTTATCTTTTTCTTACTCAATCAAAACTATACATTTCCTAGAAATTATGGCTTGGGTTGGAGCATACTTGGGCTGAATACCTCAAATTTGGGATTTCACCCCATGCGCTGCAGACAGCCTACAACCCCGTAAATCACTCCATTTGTACCTTTAAAAATTAAGATGCTCATTGCTCAATATGAGACCCTTACCAAATGCACGGTAATGAAGTCTGTATACCAAAGGAACCGGCATATAACAATTGGACATCAGGAAGTGTATGGGCTTTCCTATACACATGAATCTACTGCTTCTATGCGGGCTTCTGGTTGATCAACAGATTTACAAGTTGCCTTCTCAATTGCTCTCTTAATTGGTGCTTCATAGACAGATCTCTCTCCAGATTCTGTTTGACAGCAAGGAGCTCTGACTTTCGTCTCTCGGCAGCCGCAATCACGGAGTTATTTGAATGATTAGAGTTGCCTTGCAATTCAGAAAAAGTTGACTTCAGCTGAAACATGGTTCCATAAGAACCACAGTAAGAGCACTCGCTTATAGACTGTTATATGTATGAATATACGGAGTACTAAACAAGAGCACAAGAGAAGCTTATTAACCAATTTTGCTCTAATAAGAAATGCATATCTAAGTCATAATAAAACAAGGACTGCAAGTGAAGTTTACTAACTGATTTACCCGCCCCTTTCCTCTCCAGAAGCTAACATACCCGGAATCACCCTCTATTCAATTTTCCTTCCCTCCAATTTGTTTTTTGGAGAGTAAGACTATATTTTACTCTAAAGAAAAGGGTCAATGATTTTTGGGAGAATCAAAAGGTGGGCAAAGCTTTAAAAATGGTGAAAGCAATTCTTTAAGACCTTTTACCATTAGTTGCTATTTTACTCTCTCCACCCATCATTTGTTAGACAGCTTTAGTAAACAACTTATCACTATTCTTAAGCCAACTACCGGATTTTGCATCATTATGAATAGGCTTAAATATGTTTTTTAGTCCCATCAAATATAGGACTTATTGTTTTGGATCCCTGCAATTTTTTTTTATCCCAATCCAATCTATTACGAAGTATTTTTAAAACTAATGTCCCTTGCATAACTACAATCAAAACTTTCCACGTCAACTTGTTATAACTTTTGTAGACTAAAGCTATGTGAAACTTCTCATTCACAAAAAAAGGATGACACCCATTCTTAGGGCCCCCAGAACTGACTGGACAATTAACTTTCTAAAAACAAGGGTACCGTACCTAGCATTCATTTGATTGGATCACATCACTTTATCAATTTTAATTTAGATTTAAATAATTTAACTACTATCTTTTCATTGGTCCATGTGGACAAAGGTATGGTACCTTATGGGTACCATAGAAACTACCTTAACTTTAATGTAGGTCTCAGCCTTCTCATAATATAATTTACGTACTTTTTAAAAAGAAGTATTCCATGAGAACGACAGATATATCTTGTCAATAAAATGGCATGAACACCATATACAAATATCATGCCAGTCAAGTTGATTTCGTCTAAGCAAGGGTTGCTAGAGAGAGGATTAGGGGCTAAAAGTAAAACAATGAAAAACAAAAAAATTAATATGCACAGACCTCAAATAGACAACATAATTATCAATGGAGAGGTTTATGAGGGGGGTAAAATTAAACCTGAAACAAACATTGAAATATATAATACAGAGTACAATTATACGATGTATTAGTCCAGTTTGTAATCAATTCCTATCCAAACATGACAAAGAAAACAGACATCAGGAATTGCTGAATGCATAACCATTGTTCAACAAGAGAGTTAAATTGATAAAATGAAGTAAACAGATATAGGCCACGAAGCAGAACATACTGACCTGATTGGTGTAACTTCTCAGCTCCTCTACTTGCACTTGCAATTCAACCACAAAGTTTTCCAAATGCTCCATGAATTCATTCATCTCCCCATTTTCGGAAGTGTAATATTTTTCCTTTTCTTTCTCTTGTTCCCCCAGATCCTCCACCTCATTCTTCAAATATCTGGTCATTAAAAATAAGCATAAAAACCAATGCCCATTGATATGCAATTCTTCCTCTACCATACTCCCACGTTGCACACATCACATATACAATGACCAAGTTATATGAAGGATTGAAGAAGAAGATAAATACGTGTTGAAAATATCAATGTGGAGTTCCACTTTATTTGCACAATGAATTGACCTTCAAATAGATTGTTTTTTACCTGCCAATAATGATATACTGCGCACCACACATTTTGATATAAGATCCGTAGTATAACAGTTTTAGATAAAAGTGTGTCTAGTATGTGAAAGAAACAAATCAACAATGATGACTATAAGTCTATAATTAACATGACCAATTGACCATGACACATATTATAGCGGTTCATATAAGTGGGTTTAGGGCGGGTTTTAACAAAATAAAAATAAAAGATAAAGTTTTCATATTATAATTTTGAGTCATTGACATCCTTGCAAAAAGTAGGATGGGTCACAAAACGTAAAAGTGAGGGGGTGAAATCAAATCATAGCTCACAAAATGTGGGAAGGAGGAATATATAATACGCATTTCAGGATGCATAATTGCGGTAGCCGCTACATACAGTTTCTGGTTTTGGTTTGGAAATCGAATTGCAGAGCAATTATCAAATGAAAAAAGAAGTAAAATTTAATTAAATGAGAAGTACATAGTTCATTCATTCAGCCTAATGAGCATATAGCTAATATAATCAATTACATGAACTAATAAAATTAGAATGCTAGAGAAAGTGCCGATATTCATGCCTGACATCCTGAAGAGCGCGGAGATACTCGGTGTCTAGACGGTCGTTTTCGGATTTGAGAAATGATATAAATAATTGCTGAGAAGCAATTTTACGCTCGAGATTAAAGCAGCGCCGTTCTGCGAATTTGATGTTGGAGAGCCTTGCGGCCAATAACTCGGACTTGGTCGTCTGTAACTCTTTCTCTGCCTGTATGATCACTAATCACCGATTCTAAGTTTGCATTTTTCGAGAGAAACTCTAGATGCCTAAATTTTTTTAAAGGAGCGACCTGAAGGAGAGAGAGGCGTTGGTTTCTGGTCTCCTCCATTTGTTCCAGTCTCTCGCGAAACCCCGATGGAAGCGCCATTGATAAGATCATGTGCTTAAAATGAAACTTAAATGATTCGAAAAGTCCTGTTTAAAAGAGTCCAGGAAATTGGTCAGTTTCTGTGGTTATTTAACTTATTTTTGACTTTTAATAAGGCTTAGTGAGACTATACTTTGATCCAGAAAAATCATACCCCCATCGCTCCCATAATAGAGTGATGTTTCTGAAACATTCTAGTTCAAGAAGCAATACTCTTTTCTCTTTGGAGGAGGGTTAAAAAGGGTATAAGACTCGCAATCATGGTTTTATCGAATCATGTGCACGGTGCATGTGATAGGAGAGATATAGACACAAAAAATTAAATTTAAAACATTTCTCTCTCATTATTTCCATGATTTTATGTGTTTTTTGTAAGTTTTTCTTTGCAATGTCAAGCATAATGTCTACATCTAGATATTGTGCTTGACATTGTGGATAAAAACTTACCAAAATGATACAAGATCATTCAAATAAGGAGAAAGATATTCTATTTATTATTTTTTAATTGGCTACCTCTCATGCCACGTATGCACCGTCCACGTTTTAACATTGAAGATGCTCTAAGATCATGTGCTTTAATATGAAACTTAAATGCCTGAAATATTACTACATATTGGTTAGGCTTAAATATATTTTTAGTCCCTGCAAATATGACACACTTTGTTTTATGTCCCTGCAAAATATTTTCTTTGCTTTCTATCCGTGAAATTTATGTTGGTTTTATTTTTAGTCCATGACCAATGATAACAACCTCGTTCGACAACAAAACATCCCCGAATAATAGGTTTTCTCTAATTTGTTGTCATGACATTTAAAATGTACTCCGTATTTAATTTCATTTTTAGAAGGGTTTTTAATACATATTTTAAAAATGAGAATAATTAGTTTTATATTGTTTTAACTCGCATACGTAGTATTAGACTCAAAAAATTATTAAATGATAAATTTAAATGTTTATAGTAGATTTATGCAACAAACATTTTTCTAAGTAGAGTTGTTTCAAAATTAGAGATATACTAAAACCAAAATAGAGCATATTACAGGGATGAAAACAAAGAAAATATTTTGGAGGGACCTAAAACAAAGTGTGTCATTTTTGCCGGGACTAAAATCATATTTAAACCTATTGGTTATCCTATTTTAATTTTGCACATTATTAATAAAGTGGTTGAAAAATAAACCTTACGATTGAAATTTGTGTTGAATTCAAGGAAAATGATAGGGATCACTTATTTCTTACCAAAAAAACAAAAAAATTCATTTTGGAACAACTCAAAACGCAAAGTAGGACAACCAAAACATGACAGAGAGAGTACTTCTAGGGTTTTGTTGGACCAAAATATGACTAATTTAGTCCAGGACAAAAAAGTAACTTTGGAAAGTCTAGAACGTACGTATCCTTCTGATCTTCAATTCGGCAGCCCAAACTTCATTTCCCAAGCAGACTAAGGGGTTGTTTACTTGTTTTTCCATTAAGTCCTGTCTGGATTAAGACGTCTGTCTAGATTAAGACGTCTGTCTGGATTAAGTGACACTAGAATAACAAGCTGTTTACTTCGTGTGCTGAATGTGTTGTCTGAATTATATCAAGTTACTAATTACCCTTCTGGCTGTGATAAGTGTTGAATATATATTGTCTATTTACAAAGCATGACTTTAAAAATTCAAGAATATTACAACATGTTAAATTTAAGCATTTAGCACTAATCTATTAGCAATTTGGTCTCGTAAATTCATCTTTGTATGCTATGTGCCCACATTATGCTCCATCTATTTCTTCTTTACTTCCTTGACCTTCTACTTCTCCTCCTTCATTGTTGAATATTGTCTTATATTTCAATGGTTCAAATATGTCATCTTGAACTAGCAATCACCACGTTTCTTTGAACCGAAAATGAATAAAGCGTCATCTCGTTTTAACCATTGTGAAACAAAAGCAAAGTAATTTGCTATATATATACAGACATTTCAAAGCTGTCTTATATATGAAAAAATAAGTGTAAGTGCAAGGGTAGAACTACCGCTATTAAAAACCTGCTTTTTTTAACAAATGAAAATCAAATAATCAATTTACACCACGCCTCATTTTGAAGCTTAAGGATGTTTTTACTTGGACTGTAATTTGCCCCAGACCAGACCAGACCAGACCAGTCCAGACCAGACCAGTTCAGACCAGACCAGACCAGACTTGGATAGTTATAAAAATACAAAGAAACCAGACCTTACCAGACCAGACCAGACCAGTTCAGACCAGACCAGACCAGCAAATTACAGTCCAAGTAAAAACATCCTAAGACAACATAATAAAAATAAAAGCAACAGCAGCGGGCACACATGCCAATCCAGATGTGTATACATTAAAGCATTAAAAGATTAGATCACCAAGGGCTTATAGGGTAGTCAAGCTCAACACCTCTGTGCCTATTCAAGTAAGAACCGAAATACATATGGCTTTGATAATTTGTCCATTACAAACCTCTCTGTCTATTCAACAAGCTTGCTTCCAGCCTCCACAATTACAAGCGGACTCACACCTGGCTTTGATAATTTGTCCATTACTTTATGGAGCAGATCAGAACGTAAACACATATGACATCTTTCATTGCCAACCACATAGGGAGATGAAGGGTATAGTTCCTCTCCAAGTTGCAGTGCCTGATGAATTGTCATTTCATCAAGATTGATATGTGTATAGATTTTGTCCTTGGCCAGAGTTGTAATACAACTTCGGGAATATATATCCAATAAAAACCCGCTTTCTATGGAATAGATTTTAAAGAAAACTTCCTTAAAGAGAGCTAACATTTCAAATGAGTGATTCTTAAACCATCTGACTCTAATTTATACAACCAAAATGTAAAGTTTTAGGTGTTCTAAGGCACAAAATATCTGCTAAAAATTTATTGTAGTCTTCAAAGTAAAGCTAAAGCAATTCAGCAAAAAAAAATGTATTACTACAATTCGGATTCAATGTTGTTATAATATTGAAACTTGGACTGCATAAATTGAAAAGGCTTGAATATTTAATCTTAAGATCAAAGAACACCTTGTTGGACGGCCAACTTGTTTGAGCTTTCTTATTAGTGAAAAGTGCTTTGACAATCTACTACACACATTGATACAATTTGCAACCAAGATTGACTCCAACCTAACTCTTCCTTAATTAAATATAGCATCCACCTTTTTCAGGCAACAACATACAAATATTGCAGATACAATTCACCTCAAATTGGGGGAAAGTAACTGTATAGACCAACAACAATCCAAACAAAATTTCCTAAGATTATGGTATGAAAACATCCCAATAAATCAAAATATCATAGGAAGTATATTAAATCCCAATAACAAAATTTCGAACATAAGAATATAAGAATATAAGAATAAAATAAATCAAAATATCATACGAAGTATATAAAATCCCAATATAAGAATATCTCATAAAAAAATATTTCACAAGTAGAGGATGGGATTCGAGAATGGTTGAACGAGGAGAAACTTTACAGTGTAAAAGAGAACAGAATAAATAATGTATATAAAAGAAGAGGAAATAAAGAAGGTAAAAATGAGACTGGAGAGAATACCTCCTCGCTGCTTCCGTGATAGCTCTTGGGTTGCTCTGGTCGACAACGCATGCAGGTTTGTGGCGAGACACTGGAGAGATATCGTGGATGAATTATTCGGAGAAGCCAGGGTTAAAGACGGCACACCCTGTAGGCAGATACGTCTGAATGGTAAGGAGTAATAAAATCGAGTTGACCGATTAAGTAATAAAAGCGAATAAGTCAAGTTTTAAATTAAGTCCTAAGTAAACATTATTATATAGCTGAGCGAATAAGTCATTGAATCCATTAAGTCTATTAAGTCGAAAGTACACAGGCCCTAATTGCCCTCCAATGAAAAAGAATGAGAAAGATGCGGCGAAGATGATACGTTGCTTCGCCTGCTGATCATTGCTCGGATTCTACATCGCGACGTCTAGGTCGTTGGTCCGATTCTATGTCGTTGTTGCCCCCGAATCCATGCCACTACAACCAGGTTATCGCCCCTTAATGCCGCGGTTGCCATCTCCTTGTATGCCGCAGTTTTCGTCGTCATCGCCATGCCTAGGCCTGTCAATGAGTTGGGTCTAGACCCGGACCCGATCCGAATCTGACACTGTATTTGAGGGTATGAGTCTAAATTTAGAACTGTTTTCCGGATCCGAACCCGTTACATGCGAGAGAAAAATGGGTCGGATATGGATTTTTAAATTCTGACCCGTTTTAGACCCGACTCGTGACGATGTAATTATAGTTAGAATTTTATCTATACGAGGGCAGTTCATATTAGGAGCTCGTGACCAAAACCCCCGCGCGGAATTCACTATTTGGGGTGGTTCCCAGTGGAATTGTTTGATGAAATATTTTGAGCATGTTCTTCATCAAGTCTAGTTTATGCATACCAAAATTGATGCCAAAACTCAATCGAGAAGGCAGTTAACTAAATTATTGAAACATTTTGCGCATTATGTACATGTATAAAGTGCAATATATTTCACGATTTTATTTAACTATCTTCCTGATTGAATGTTGAGCTGAAATTTGGTATGCGTAAACTAGAGTTGATAAAGAACATGCTCAAAAATTTCATCAAAAGTAAAATTTGGACCTTTTTTCAAGTTGCAACACAAGTAAATTGAGTTAAAATACAAGTTACTAATAAACGTAATGGTAAAAACAAAAGTAATCATTAATAACTTACATTTTAATTAAAAAGATACATTCTTCGAGCATATTTAGATGCAAAGTCATCTACCAAACTTGAAATGTCAATCTCTTCGAGTGTTTCAGATTCTGTGGATATCAAAGCCAATTATTGAAATCCTCCTCTAATCTTTTACATGTTTATACATTTTAAACTAAAATTCAATTTAAATTTAGGGTGAAATCATGAAAGACTATACTAGTATAATTACTCCCTCCGTCCCGCTAAGATTGTCCCAGACACTATTCACTTTATTAACACAAATCACTCTTAATCTCTTACTTTATATATCGAATTTTTATCAAATTTGATTCTGGTTTTTGCGACTTTGTAATGTTTTTAATGTAGTTTCTGAATATGTAGAGATAATACCATCTTGAATATCATTCACACAATTTGATCCTGTTTTTAATGTAGTTTCTGAATATGTAAAGATAATAAGGGTTGAAGAAGAACTGTCATTATGAT